AGCTCTGGACCCTCCACCTCCCTGGACGGAGGGATGGGGGGCCTGAGAACAGCCCCCGGCCTGTGTCCCCGCCCTTTGAGGTGCGTTGCCCAGGGCAGGTGGAGAGTCCATAGCTCCCCACAGTAGCCTGTTCTCCCTGGGCAGCTCTTACCATGGCCCAGCTCTGGCTTCTGGCCTGGCTAGGGGGCAGGGCCTTGGGGGGAATAGTAGGAGAAGGGCTCCATAGCGAGAGTGGGGCTAAGGCCCACCTCAGCCCTCCACTGGGAAGAGTATGGCACCGCTAGCGGGGCTGCACTTTGTGGTGGGGGAACTGATTTCCTGCTGCAAAGCACAGCCCCTGCTGCTCCATGCTGGCATGAGGCTACTATGCCCATGTTAAAAAATGCGTAGGCATGACCACCCTGGCTCCCCCGGGGTGTGGGAGGCCCAATGTTCTTTGTGCTCAGAACCCCAATAAATCTTAATCCGCCTCTGCAACACCGACAGACCCCAGTCGTCAGCAGGCAGGATTGAACCTGGGATCTCTGGAGCTAAATGCATGAGCCTCTATTGCGAGAGCTAAAAGCCACATAGCCTTAGCTAAGGCTGTGGAGCAGACTCATTAATCTCTCTCTAAATGGTCTTGGTCCAATAGATGGGACAGAGTACTACACCCAGGAGGTGTGTGGGTTACACCTGGACCAAACATACCTCTGAATGGGTAAAATTTGCATCTGAGTCTTAATTTCATGGATGCAGCCTATTTGTTGTCATGAGAAAATCACAATGGATGTAAAATTTGTTACTTGAACCATCATTTTCACTGCAGAAGAAACTACAGAAATACAGCTGGTACGTGTACTTACACTTGCCCATCTTTTCCAGATACGACTGTAATGTTTTCTGCTCCCATAGTGCCCTTGCAGATACACAGGGGATGCTTTTCTCAGAAAAACTCGACTTTTGAAATGTTCCCCTGAATTTCTGTATCAATGTAGTTTGCGTAAGTGTTGCTAAAGGAAAAAATATGCAAGGAAAGTGATACTCCATGTTCTTCAACATAGTGAAAAGAAAATTTATCAGCATAGTAATGCAGCACTGGGCAACCTTCTTTGGGACATGGGAAGAAGGATCCCTTTTTTGAAATAAGAACATCTACTAATAAGTATTATTTTCTTTTCATCTCAACTTTTATAATATTTGGAGTCAGGATACCTTGGTTCAGTACTTAATCCCAGTTTAGAGGTGCTCTTTAAAAATCAGAAGAGGCAGAAGTGCTTGCTTCTGAGATCAAATCATTTCCCTATTATTTATGGATGTAGTTGACCCGTGAGACAGGATGGTCTGGTTAAGTCACTGGACAAGAACTCTGGAGACCTGAGTTTAATTCCTTGAGCTGCCATGGGCTTCTTGGGTGACATTGGGCAAATCGTTTAATCTACCCTGTGCCTCAGTTCCCTGCCTATAAAATGGGGATAGTAATTCCTTACCCCTAGAGGTGTTGTGAGGCTAAAAACCATTAATAATTGTGAGGCACTTAGATACTACAGCGATGAAGGGTCACATAAGTACCTAGATAGAGACTACAACAGAGAATAGTGATGAAATAAACTGGTTTTGGTCCCCAATCTTGATATCTGATCTGCATGCATGTGGGCCTTCTGTCTATGTAGAGTCCATTTTAAGCCAGAGGGGCTCTGAGGTCTGACCATGTTGATGAGGACATTACTAACCATAAAAAAAGATGAGTGCACATAAGCTGAGTTAGTTTTTAAGTATTTATATTTAATTTCAGGAGGAAAAAAATTACTTACCACATTCAGACAGTAGAATTTTGTTGTTCATGAGTTATTGTGAAAAGTGTTCTTGCAGCAATAGCTATTTAGACATTAGAATGATAACAGGGCAAAATTGGGCATTGTGATCATTTCTATTATTTATTCTGCCATTCATGGAATTACTTTCCTCTCTGAAGTAAATTGCATAGAGTAGGAAAGAGCACTGGTTTTATTCTAATGCTGAATTATATCAAATTTCCAGGTTATTCTATAATATTGCTTCAAGGAACAATAAAGCTTCTTGTTGATCAGCACTGAGATAATCATTCCTTTTGTGAACAGATGGGGGGAAAGGATTACAGGCTGTATTCCCTATATAATTATCCCTCAATTGCATTACCAGAGTTCATTCATTAACGACCCAATCCTGCCAAGTGCTGAACATCACCAGTTCCCATTGACTTCCTAGTTTTCAGCACTTAGCAACTATTTTAGGCCCTGAACCATGAGTGTTTATATCCTGCATAAATGTTCATACAATCCTGTGCGTCTGTGGATGTACTTTCATTTATATAAACATCTAATCACATATAAAATCATACTCAGGCCCTGCCTCACTGATACCTGTTGACCGTGAGTTCTGTTGTGAGCATTGGGCCTACAAATTGACCTGAATTATGAACTCAACTGTAAAAAGTATGTAAAAGTTCATAAGATGTTACAGTAACATATAACAACAAATGCTGATGGGAAAAGATACGAAAAGTAGATAGAATAACTGAATTAGTTTTTAAACAAAAAGGCCTACTGATATAATTCAAGAACTGTGTTGAAATTAGGATTGTTAAAAATAGGAGATGTAGAGCTGGAAATTAATGAGTTAAAATTGGTATGCTGGATATTAAGCCTAATTGGTGGACAAAATAATAAGGGGCAGGGCTATTCCACCCATTGCTCCTTTTTGGAATCTCAAAAGGGAGAGATTTTATGGGGAATGAAAAAACAAAAAGAACAGATGGAAAGAAGAGAGGCTATTGGAGCAAGCCTCACAATCATGGCTGCCACCCCACCATTTCTGGGACCCTGCCTTTTCTCATCCTGATCCTCAGACATGTCCTGGCTAGAATGGGCCAGAGAGAGAGGGACCCAGATCATGTCGCCATCCCTATCAGCTCCATCTGAATCCAAAACACCATCTGGGATGACAGTTATTGCCATCTTTGATACCATCTAAAAGACTATCAAACAAGGGAAGTTTTCCCTTCTGAAATTGGACTTTAACAACAGCAGCAACGACATCTCCAGACCATCTCAACTAACTTCTCTTTTCCCCAAAAGAATACTTATTACCATCTTTAATACCATCTAAGAGACTGCCAACAGGGGATTTCTCCTTTTAAAAACTTGCTCCAGCTAAAAAGACAGGGAACAAGGGATGTCGTTAAAATGAAAGCTTTACTTAATACTTCACATTTCAAATGCTTTAATTGTTTTTCCTTCTTTTCTGTATCTTTAGTAAAAGTTTAAAAGGATTTTTAATTGCGTGTTTGCCATAGTGCGAAACAGGCTGAGGTCTCTATATACCAAGCATCGGACTTTGTTTTACACTTGTTTAATGTTGAACAGTGACTCAGTTATGTTAACATCATTAGCTCATCTAAATTAATATAACAGTTTCATTGGTTAATTACGTATTTTAAATCCAATTATTTTCTTTTTAACTGTTTTAAGTGTACTTCCTTTTAATTGAGTGTTCCCTTGTTCCAGTATTTATATGAGAGTAAAAATAGGAGTGCGTGATTTTCTTTCTCATCATATTATATGCTCCTATTATTCCCTCTATTTAGTCATCTCTTTAAACTGTACTAACTCTTTTAATCTCTCTTCATGTGGATCTTCTTCTGTGTCTGCTGCTTCCTGCAGCTCCTATTGGCTGGGAATGGCGAACCGCGGCCACTGGGAGCTGCAGGGGGCAGTGCTCCCTCTAATTTTTGACAGGCCGTGTGTGCAAAAAATTTCTTCTGTGCAAATTTTTGAAGCAGAGGTCAAATTTGTTCGCCATGAGGCAAATGCGCCCAAGCGAGTAAAATGCTTATACATTTTAAAAAGTTTTAATTTGCAATTTGTGATGATAGTTTTACACCATGTTATTTTATAAATGTCTTTTTTAAATACTTAGAAAAAGGAAATTTAAGCATTCTTCATGAAGCAGAAGTTAGTTTTAAGCATTACGCTTTATGATCTTTTTATAGACAATCACAAGCATATATCAAGCACATATTAATCATGATCATTATCAGTCCATAGGCTTCTGTACATTGATGTCCACTTTCACCTTTCATTCTATACACATGTCCAAAAAGATTTTGATAAACATATAATAAAGACAATTTAATAAGTATGCCATTATGTCAATTTATATGGGTTTTCAGATAGAGACATCATAAGTAAAAAAAGAAAAACAAGAGTTTGTGTTTTAAATTTAAAATATTCCTAAAAAAATCAATAAATGATTATCAGCTAAAAATAAGATATGTAATTACAAATGCATTTTAATTTCTTTATTGGTAAAAATGTCAAAGACGGCTAAACTAACCTTACTGTTTTTCCCTGCGATCCTTTTCATTTGCCCATTCAATATAAACTCTGTCCAGATCTATCAGTCCTCCATCCAGCTGGTAACTCTTAATGCACATCAGCATGTCCAAGCGATCTACTTGTAAACAATTCCATAGTTTGTTTTTTAGAGTGTTCATTAAGCTAAAGCCACGCTCACAGTCTGTACTTGATGCTAGGAATGTTCCTCCAATATCCATCAACTTTGCAAGATCCTGAAACTGTTCGTTCTGGTGAGCAAATGTCACCATATCCGGAAAACTTAAAACCAATTGGCTTTTGATTCTTTCGGCTACTGCAAACTTGAAGTCATTGTACTGACTGATTATAACAATCTCTTCAGCAAGAAAGTCTTTGTATTTTGAACATAGGGATTTGACCTGATGAATTCCAAAAGTGAAGTCACACTTAACTATTGCTGCACAGTCAAAAGCGGACTACTCCTGGACTTCATCCTCTGGAAACCTGTCTGCCAAATGTGCACACAAGTTGTTTATGAAAGTTTTATTATGGAACTGGTATCAATTTCGTTATTTTCTTGAGAGCTCATATCTAAGAGAGCCTTAACTTTGTCACTCCATAAGACTGAATCTCCAAGGTACTGTCTTCTGATCTTGTTCAGTTTACCTCATGCAAGGTGAAATGCTTCAAGAGGTGTAAGGGCCCGTTCCGGAGCAGTGTGGATAATGAAGCCAGCTCCGACAAAACATCTTTCATAACTTCTAATGTTATTCGGTATTCCATGGTATTCAGCTTTTTGTGGCAGTATTTAGAAACTGGATCAGTATCTTTGTCTTGCTCAAAATATTCCAGAAGAGGATTATAGTTGCGAATAATTGCTCTAAGTGGAAAGTGCATAGATAACCAGCTCACTTCATTGCGTGGCCTGATAGCCACTGACTCACATTCAGAAGCATCCACTATTTCCTGAAATTTGCATATTCTCCTAGATGACCAACAGAACACCGTGTGGACAGTTCTCATTAAGGTTTCGATGTCTCTTATCAGCTTGACCTCTTTCCATACATCAGAAATTCCCAAGTCTTCCCGGTGTGCAATGCAGTGTTGCTGGACTAAGTGTGGAATATCACGTTTCAGCTGAGCCGCCACACCACTGAGTTTGCCCAACATCACAGAGGCAACATCAGATGTGAACATCACCATTTTCATTAGATCAAGTTGGTGTTTTTTTATAAACTCTTTGATTGCAGACACTATTGAAACAGCATCATATTCTTGCAATCATAATAGTCCACCAAACAAAGTTTTATAGTCTGCAGAATTTATGGATCTATATTTAAAGTAGAGTATCAAATATCTGTTAATGGATATATCAGTGCTTTCATCAACAGCTAGAGTATGAAACATTGCCGATGCTATTTCATGCATGAGGTCATTTTGGAAAATTAAAAAGCATAATTTTTACTTCTCCAGCTTGCTGGTATGCGCACATACTTTTCCATATGATCATTAATATCCTGAACAGAAAACATTGAGCTGTTCATTTTAATAGCCAACAACACACTGTCAATAAGTACCTTGATTTCTTCTGGGTTTGAGTGCTTGCATTCAAGATTAATTTGCCTCCCCTGCTTTTCAGCTGGACTTTCAAGAATCATGCTAAGCAATCCGCTCTGTAAGGAAGGGTTTTCATTTCTAAGTCTTGTTACACCATCTATATGAGACTTACTTGAAAGATGATGCTTTAAGAAATCCAACTTCCATACATTGTTCCACATTCTTCCTGTTGAAAATTCTCCCGAAGCTCTGGCATCTCGACAATATACACAAACCACTCCATTGTCCTCATCATATGTGAATATTTCACAAAGTTTGACAAGCATTACACTATGTGACTTCGGTGTAACAATCTCTATAGTCTCATACAGCCATCCAGATTTAAATGAAGTCTCTGTTCTTTTTACGCTTTAGACCTCTAGACAGTGACATTTTGGGATTGATTTTTTACCAGATTGGTTTATTTAAAATTAATACTTTTACTATATGGCTACTATTTCAATGCGCTTAACAGCGTGACTCGACAAAAGGGCAAATGGGAGATCATTCAGATCAGGATACCGGAAGTTTGTGCATAGCTCTGATCATGTCCATGCATCTACGGCAAAAAAATGCAGGGAAATGGTAAAACATCATGAGTAAATGTATGAAGTCCAATGCCTTTGAAAGATTTCAATCACGAAAACAACACTCACCTTTGTTCATTTCTGGGAAATCTTTGCAGTTCCTTAGCAACTATGGCCAGGCATTTTGACTTATTTGCACGTACTTGAGTTTGTACACAGCCAAATGAACAGACTACAAGGAGATGTGTGGGTCCCGACTGTCCCGACATGATCAGCGTTCCATGTTCAAAATGCTGGCGGGGAGAGGTACGATTCATTGCCCTCCTTTCCCCCGCCCCGCCAGCTAGTAGAATCTGGCTGTGTTGATAGATGGCGGGCGAACTATGTCAAAAGTCGCCTGTAAATGATATTTCGGCCTGGCTCCGATGTAGTATTTCATTTTTTGTGTGCGTGGTATTTCACCATGTGCGTGGGGCTTAGGATCTCTGTGCACACACACAGAGCTTAGAGGGAACAGTGGCAAGGGGCCGTGCCTGTGGATGGTCAACGTCAGCAAAATGTCTCGCGGCCCGCAATCACATTACCCTGATGGGCTGCATGTGGGCCGCAGGTTGCCCACCACTGGTCTAGATAATACTTAGTCCTGCCATGAGTGCAGGGGACTGGACTAGATGAGCTCTTGGGGTCCTTTCCAGTCTTATGATTCTATGATTGTCTTCGATCTCTCTGTAAAGCACCAATTTCCTCCCAAATTTTGATTAAAATATACATTTTTGTCTAAAAGCTTCCATTTTGTTAAAAAGCCAATTTGGTTGAAAAAAAGAGTAGAGATGTGTATCCCATAAAGCTAGCTTTAGCATTTTGTTTTATTTAGCAGTAATGCAAGGAACCTACAGACATTGGCTTCAGCAGTTAGCATAAGGCTTGAGGCCTGTGAATTTTGGCACACATAAATGGCCCAGTAGTCACTTCTGAGTTTTGGGAAACTTGGAATAGTATTTCAAGGGGAAGTTTGTACATACAGAGATCAGGCAACCACAGAAATATGAGCTAAAACCGGTTTTTGGATATTTTAGAATAGGAACATCTGCAGATGTCTGATTTCAAGAGTGTAATGGCAACGAACTGACACATATGATGATAAGTTGAGATCATTAATATCCTAACCTATAGGAGAAGGGCACCCCAATATTAGTAGGGTGAGGAAACATAAATAAGGAAGAAGGGAGAAACCCTTACTGAATATACATTAGGCATAGTGGCATCAGCATATCATATTGTACAAGTTAAATCCCAGCCTGTGTGCAGGGAGAGAGGCCCTCTTTGTCTATGATCACATAGGCTTAATACTATCGCGTGTGGTCGGTATTGTGGATTCATAAGATAGCAGTAGTTCCTGCGCTTTGTTAGGTTCTTCCCTCTTGCTGAAAAAATGTGCCACGTCCCATCTGATGAAGTAGCCTATGGTACCTGTTGTTCTTCCGATGCCTCTTTCCCTTCTCCTTGCTTCCCCCTCAGCATGTGTTCCAAGACTGCGGCCAATAAAATGGACATTGGCGGGACAGTATTCACGTTTGTTTGGTTGATGTATGAAAATGAGAAAAAGAGCATAAATATGTTTGTGCTGGGCCAAGAGAGTGCCAGGGAGAGGACTGCGTTGGGAGCTAGATCTTCTGACCCAGCTCCCGGCAAATGTCTGTCATGTCTGTGCCACAAATGTGCAGTGTGTGAAAATGTTAGAATATATGTGGGACCTGTAAATTAGAGATACAAGCCTAGTACAATGGCCTGATGCTCAGGGCCCAATCCTGTGAGGTGATGTATGCCTTCCCCCATTATGGACTTTGTTATGACCAATTTACCCCCAACTCATGCTATATCATGACCCCCCCCTCCCCCAGGACTTCCATGTCTTCACCCTCCCCTGCACAAGCACACTACCATCGTCTCTAAGGCACTGGCTAGCCTGCTTCCCACTCCTGGAGTCTGTGCAGGGACAGCAGAATGACCCTGGTTGCCCTCCCCAAGCCCCTCTTCCCCCAAGTCCCATCCCCATCCTTCAGGTCAGGGCTATGAGGCCTGGTGAGGAAGTTTGCGCTGTACCCAGCCTGTGGATAATATAGGCCTTTATTGTACAGGGATGTCAGTCTGAGCCCTTCCAGCAGCTCTGTTCATATGCACACTAAGTAACACCATGTAATTTAAAAGCAGTTAAAAAAATAGTGTATGAGTCATGTTCCATACCTCTCACTCCTAGTGAAGGGCCTGTCAGCTTCATTTGTGTGAGGAAACACTGCCACCTAGTGGCTTTTTGGGTTAATTGTCCGCCTTTTTCATAGTTTGCCCTTAGGTTGTATGCTGCATGTTTTGTGGTGGTGTGACCCAGATTTGGCAAACACATGCTTAACTTTAATGGGACTCTCAGGCACTTAAAGTAAAGCCTGTATTTTATCTATTTGTAGGATTGGGGCCTGTGCGAGGTAGCCACGTTTATGTGGTTATCAGCTACTGCATTCAGCATTCCCCCTCTTTCTGACTGTGCCAAGTCTGATCTAAGGACACCATTGGTATTTTCTTAGACCCATCATGTGAAAAAGCTTTAGGGTCTGTAAAGAAAATAAAACCTGATGTAAACTCCACCACACGGACTGTATGTCAGTGGGTCAGCTCCACACAGCCTTGAATGGTGGCTAAATAAGATATTTTTACCTCAAGAAGGTCCACAAAATAGATCAGTTCAGCCCCCACAACACGGATATTGTTTGCCTCTTCAGTTTACAAGGCATTTGAGCCATCTCTCTAGTCTACAATAATGCAGTTCATGTCTTCCACTTGATACGTGAACTGTGGATATGAAAAAAAGAGGATGGAAGGAAATCAGCATGAGTTAAAAGTCAGGATTCAGGTTATTAGAACTAAATAATTAAGTAATGATTGAATTATATTGTGCTACGGCAGAGGGTCTCGTCTCAAGCACCGAGGGCTGGATTCTACAGCTATTATTTATGAAATTAGCATATGCTTGTGCAAAAAGCCCCATTGGCCTCAAATTCTGCTCACGTTACTAATGTGACTAATCATATTGAAATCCCTGGTCCAACTCGTGGGCACTGTACTGCAACTTTTCCACTGAGGAGTACCTCATTTTGCAAAAAGAAAAGGAGTACTTGTGGCACCTTAGAGACTAACCAATTTATTTGAGCATAAGCTTTCGTGAGCTACAGCTCACTTCATCGGAAGCTTTTGTGGTTAATTGGTTAGTTTCTAAGGTGCCACAAGTACTCCTTTTCTTTTTGCGAATACAGACTAACACGGCTGTTACTCTGAAACCTCTCATTTTGCAAGTAATTCTATTGATCAGTGGGCTACACACAGAGTAAAATATACATACCACTGGTAAGGGGGACAGAATGAGTATGTGAGTAAGGTGAGCAGGATTTGGCCCCCGGTTATATATGCAAAAATTTTCCACATAATTATAAAGGAACTCAGCTAAGATTGTTTTTCAACATTATTTTTTATCCTATATGTTTCTAATAGCCCCTCAGAAGCTCAAATCTTTGTGTGTTTCTATTTAGAAAAGTGGCAGTATAATAATGACACAACTGCCTCATCAACTTACTTGACTAATGAAGATAAACTTTGAGTACTTTTTTACTCCTGTTAGTGGAGTGAACACATCACAAAACAGTGAGGCAGGATGGTCCAGTAGTTAGGGCATGACACTTGGACTTGGGAGACCTGGGCTGAAATAGCTGCAGCACCACTGACTTCCTGTGTGACTCTGGGCAAGTCACTTAGCCCCTCTGTGCCTCCTTTCCCCTTCCCCCGCTGAGGATAATAGTGTGACAGGTTGGATCACAGAAACCCCCTTGAGGCTGCCAACTGATGTGCCAAGACTACTTCTGCCCCTGCCTTCCCTGCGAGCTTCGGACTCCAGAACCCTGGCTGGTTGTGCCAGACACGCTTGCTGGCTACAAACACAGACCCAGGTCTGAACCACGTCCCACAAACTGCAGGCTTAACTGAAAGCAGCTTAAGAAGCATTCCTGTCTCTAACACTCAGATGCCCAGCTCCCA